ATCTTGGTTTCCTTTCCTTCCTCCACATGTGGCTCCTGATGGGGCAGATGGTAGAAGGTGAGCTGTTTCTTAGGCTTAGGGAGGGAGCCTTAGGTTGCTTTCCCTCGGGGGTCATCCCACCTAACTCCCCTCCCCGTTGCACATTCCTTACTGCCCAGGGGCATCACAGAAGCCAGAGAGAGTACTCTGGGCCTCCAGAAATCCTGGCTGAAGGGCTCCAGTTTGGAGGTCATTCCACCATACCCTCAAGGGAGTTTTCCAGGGAGTCGCCCAGGCTTGGTGAATGCTATTTGCTGGATAAGTGATTTTTAGGACCCAGGGCTAAGTGAAGGCCCAGGCCCAGTGTTTGTGCCACCCTGGGGCTATAGGCTGGCCCGCCCCACCCTGCCCCGCCCCAGGTGCAGATCCCCTTCTCATCCAGAGGAAGTAATAAATAGGTCCTGCATAGATTCATCCCTTTATTTATTATCTTTTTTTTATTATGGTAAATAAAGCCAAAATTAGAATTGGATCTTTTTCTGCTCCAGCACCTTGATTTTTGCCCTGGGGTTGAGGTGTGATAAACCAGCAGCTCCTCCCAGATCTCCTGTGGAGAATGTTGGTTCTGTCCTACCCTTCTTCTTGAGCTGGTTTTCAGGGCTGGAATCTCCTGGAGAGCTGTTGGCACACAGACTGCTAGGCTCAGCCCCAGAGAGTTTCTGATTCTTTATGGCTGCGGTGGGGCTGAGAATGTGTATCTCTGACAAAGGGTGGCTGTGGAGAAGGGTCCCTGTGCTGCCATGTTGGACCAGTTGGATCAGCCCCTCAGATAGCAGTAGGCTGTTTGGGATGTTAAGCAGAGCCTCGTGGCTTCCCTCTGGCCTCCCTTGCCTGGCTGCTTCTAGAACACAAGAGTATAAAGCATGAAGTGCACGTTGCTTTGCACGGCAAGGGTTGTGTTTCCAAACTCTTTTTTTTTTTTTTTTTTTTTTTCTTTTTTGCTCAAGAAACTGAAATCTATCAAACTCTTGCCTGCTGCAGTGAACCTGTTAGTCCGAGGTGGAAGTCCAGTCCTGCCTCTTGCCTGAGAGAGGAAAGCAGATGTGAAGGTGGGCGGGGAGAGCTCCTGTTTCCCACAATACACAGGTGGAAGTGGAAGGCCAGGTGCAGAGCATCTGGAAGGGCAGCAGTGTCTCAGATGAGATTGTTAAAAGTCAAAGAATGTGACCAAGGGAAAGCACATCTGTGCGCTCAAGTCCTGTGCAGGGGTCACACATTTTGTCCAAAAGAAATTTAATGGGGTTCAGAAACTGGATTCAACTTTCCTCATCCACTTAGCAGGTCTAGGATCTTGGAGACAAGTGACATAACCCCCATCTGTAAACCTTGGTTTGTGGCTCTACAGTGGGAATAAATCTCATAGGGTTGTTATTGTGAGGATTTAATGAGACAGTCCACTTGGCACGTGACACACGGTGACCAAAATTTGTTAGCTGTGATTGTTCTTGTTAAGTATGATGGCAGAGTTCGAGGTCTGTCTTGGAGTTTGAAACCAAGAGCCACGGGTCAGGAGAAATCAGGAAGGCATCTTGTAGAAGATGGCGATGGGGTCATGAGTAGAGTGCACATGGCATTCTGGGGCAAGGAACTGAGCAGGGGGACTGGTGGGCGACAAGGCCAGAAGGGAAACTGAGGCCAGAGCGTGGAGAGCCCTGAATGACAGGTTAAAGAATCTGACCATTTCCCACAGTCTTGAGGGATAGGTGTTGGGAGAGTGTTTGCGAGCTGAGCACACAACCAAAGAGGAGGCCCACATACATGTCATGGGGCCTGGTGTTGCCACCCCCCTCACCTCCACACTTTGGTCTTGCATGTGCCAAGGAGTGTCTCCCCCACCTCTTCTCAGCACCCACCTCACCAGGGTAAGAAGCCCCAGAGCTGGCTGGGTCTCATGGTGCCCAGTTGTGCATTGCCTGCTCAGATGCTGAGAGACACCACATGATACTTGAAGGCTCCATCTTACCAAAGCCTGTGCCAGCCATCGGTGGGGACGGTTACTTTCAGGGGTTGCTGCCCTCTCCAAGGCATAGCCTGAATCCCAAGCCAAGAAACACACCAACTTCCTGGAACTCAAAGCCATCATCACAGCTGCCGTCTCAGCCGTCAGAGCGCACGTGAGGCTGTCCTTGTTTGAAGAGATGGTTTTACCCTGATCTTTGCAGGCGGGGGAAGCGCAGGTGTGGCTTTGCTGGAACATCTAGCCTGGTTTGGTTCTGTTCACAGCCTAGCCAAGACTAGGCTCCTACAAGAGATGCCTTTGCTGCTTGTCAAGCTCCCTAGTAGCTCAGGCGTATCTGAACTCCTCTTAAGTAAACTCTAAGCCTGTCCTGGGTTGGGCTGGACTGGTCAGCTAAGCTCTTTGACAGCATGGACCATCTGTCCCAAGTATTTGTGGGCATTGTGGAGGCTTAGCACTGTGTCCATCCCGGTTAAGTGTTGTAAAGCCCATTGTTCTGTGTCTGTGGAAGCATCTTTCCAGAGTCTCAACCATCATCCTGGGCATCCAAACGTTCTCCGTCCATGTTTTCTAGGGCTCTTAGGCTTAGGACTGAGTTTTACTTTCCCTCCAAGAACCCTCAGGTTTTTCAGAAGCTGGGATACACCCTTTGTTTCTAGACCATCTTCTTTTTTATCTTTCATCTCTTCACTGGTATCTTCTTGGACCTGGAGACCCACCCCTTAATCTTTTCTTCCTGGCTTTACAGAGCATTGTCCCTTATCTCCCCAGGGCTGGGGACTGGCCTTACCCTCCCCCCAGGCATCTCAGAGGGACTTCTGCCCTTTCCCAGTCTTCCTGTGGGAATGCAAATCTAGAAAGTCAGGGTCCTTGACCCACACCCAGGGTCCCAGCCTATCACATTTCACCTATAGGAGTCATCCTGTAGGCGCAACTGCATCCAGTCTTTCTTTTTTCCTTTTCTTTTTCTCTGAGGCAGTGGTGCTAGAGGTAAGGGGTATCTTGCAGTTTCTTGCAAGGATCTTACGCATTATTACTCTTCAAGTTCCGTGAATCCCTTAGGCCTAAAAGAACTCTAAACTAACAGGGTGGTGACTCTTATTACTTTGCTTGATTGCAAGACATTCTCAATATTCACGTCATTTACACCCAAAGTCAAGAGGATGAAAGTTTCAAGGTCAAGTCTCTGAGCTAGGCTTTCTTGCTCTAAAAGAATCCCCCTTTGCCTGCCATGTGCTGTGTGTTTCAGGGAAACTTCTTAGTGGACTTTTTTTGAATATATTTTTTAAATGAGAGAAGGAAGTGAGTCTACATTTTAGTGGAAGTCTTGGCTATAGTCTGGAAATTTTTAATTCTAGAGACTTGTCTCTGACCCTGAAGCATGTTTTATTAATTATGGGTAGAACTATAGTTTACTTCACTTTACTTATGTGGAGATCTTGGCAATTTCTAGAAAAAAAAACCATGAGGCTACTCCTCTTTAGACTTTTCTTCCTAATAAAAATTTGACATTAATTTTAAAATGCATAACTTTGCTTTTTTTTTTTTTAAACAGTATTTAATGTCACCTTAGGTATCTTTAGGGTGGGGATGCTCTGTACATTTCTGGAAACTCCATGGGGATTTTGATAGAGTTGACTTGATGCATAGGTTAAAGGAGGGCAGGTTGTATATCACGTAAAATAAGGACTCTTATCCTGGGGTGGGGGTGTCTGTATGTTCATCCGATTCCCAAGGAGAATCCTACTGCAAGAAACATGGAGAACTACTGGGGTAGCAATAAGGGTACTTCTAGGCTTACGGGTCTCTGTGTCCCATTCATGGGCTGTCCCTGTGAGTTACTCCTTGTTTCCTGATACTTTGTTTGAAATCCAAAGAACTTTTCAAAAGAGAAAGACACCAAGGAAAAGATGGAGAATTGAAGCATCGTGGTGAAAGTACGCAGAGAAAACTGTCCTGGGATAATCAGTGCAGAGGTTTTCCCACTAGAAAGGGCTGGGGGGGTTTTCTCACCTCCAGCAGGCTGGTCTAGCTCGAGGGTTTGCGTGCGGAAGTGCTCAGTAACTGTTTGTGGAGGAAGCAAGTAAGATTCAAAATGATCACCCTGGGGAGCGAATGGGCAGTTTGTCTCTAGACACTCCAAAAGGGGCTAAAAGTGAGAAAATACACCAAGCAGTGGTTTCTTGCCAGGTGTTGTCTGCAGGGTGTTTATGTTACTTCTTGAGTCTTCTCCCAGTTTTTCACTCTTCAGCTTAGGTGAGGGATGCTGTGTTCAGAGCCAGAAAGAATGTGGCTGAATGCCGTAGCTCTGGGAAACGCTACATTCTAGTTTTCGCCAACTTCGCCCAGGGCCAGACACAGGTTTCCCCCAGGGCAGGGCTTGGCAGCCCTTGACACCCCAGAACAGACTTTATCAAACTCTTGAAGGGTATATGTAATTGGAGAAGTTTTCTTCCCCTACAGAAAAGAAGAGGTCTATGTGTGGTTGGTGAGTTACGAACACTTCCCCCGTCACTTGGGAAAAGACGTAATAATCTCTTCTTTATGTTAAGGCACTGTTTAGTTGACTATTTCTTACTTTCTTAAGCTCTCTTGTTTTTCCCCCTTTGTTTCTGATACTATTGATTGCTATCTTGCTTTTCTCTTTCCATTAAATTGACGGTCCATTGGCATCTGCTGTGAGCATGCCATTAGGATGCTCCAAGCTCCACTTGGAGCCGTGGTCCAAGCCATTCTCATCTGGTGTTGCCTTTGACATTGTGGGAGTGTGCTTGGGAGCGGGGGGGTTCCTGTCCAAGGCACACTGAGCTCCGGTGGCTCTTGCTTAGATGCTAATGGAACAGCTTTGGGTGGAATCGGCCTAGAGCCAGCAGCTTGCTTGAAATTGCAGGCAGGAGATGGGAAAGGCTATCTTTGTCCTAATTTTTGACTCCCAGTGATGTTGAGTAGTGGGTCGTTTCTGGTCTTAACCCCATTTTAATGTCACCCTTTTTCGTTTTTTTAGGTTGCTCCTACTCCATGCTCCAAGAGTGGTGGCTCTGAGGTGTGACCTTGCCCACGTCTGGGCCCAGCTAGCGCCAGCTCCTCAGTAAGGAGGGCAGCTTGAAAGCAGAAAGCAGGTCAGCGAAGCTTTATTGACTTTCCTGAGTCACAGTAACATTGAATGTTGAGTTTCCTGTGCCCTTCCCACATACCCTTTGAGTTGTCCTTCCTCTTTTCCAGGTCCACCTGAGACTTTGGTGCAAAATCATGTTGAAATTGCAACTGTGACTTGCTGGTTCTTCTTGATCTGATAGGCCTGAGATATAGGATGAGAAATCTCAGAAAGGATGCTGAGGGCTTGTCTCGTAGGAAGCAACAGTGCAGACTCCTCACTCCTTTCTTCTCTCTCCCTCCCTCCCCTCGACAAGTCCAGATCCTATGTGTTAAAAACTGGAACACTAGCCAGTCCCCTTGGCAGGGTTTTTCATATCTGTGTCTCGGGAACTTCATCTGGGTTCCCAGTCCTCTCTGATTCCAGTTGAGAGGACTGTATTAAAACAGGGACAGTAATTTTTGTTTTTATTTTTAATTTAATTTTTTAATTATCATTATTGTTATTTTGCAGTGTGAGGTGATGTCAGGGAGAGGAAGTGGTGCAGAGGAGAGAATGAAAATCCTAGGATTGTAAATATTCAGAAAGAAAAATGTGCTTTGTGAATAGACCTTAAACAGTTAAACTATCTTTCATTCCCTGGGGTTGAGAATCAGAGGGTTTAGATTTGTTGGTTTGGGCTGTTGTTCGAGTATAGTCTAGGGTGGGGCGTGGGGTAGGTAGGATAGACTAATACTGGCCAACTTGCTCTGGTTAAATTATCACGTAGGTGAGCCTTTGTGTTACGGTAGATTTTTTTTTTTCTAACATAGAACAATGAGCTGCATTGTGCATTGCACCAGTTTTTCCTTCTGCCCTGCTTTGTGGTACCGAAGGGAGAACTCAAATATAAGACACAAGAACAAACTGGAGTACAATCTTGTCACAGCCCAAGGGGCTGGTTGTTGGTTGCTTCTCAAACAGCTTCTCCATTGGATGAGTCCAACGACTCTTCTGGTTTTCAAACAGTATAGCCAGGAATTTCATTTCGTTAATTGCATTTTCAGATCAGAGATGAGAAGTACATCTATTTTTAAAAATTGCTATTTACTTACATTTAAAATAGGAAAAGGAAGTAAATATATGTGATCTTGGTGTTGTCAATGGGTAGTGTCACACTTTACACTTTATCCCCAAAGAGGAAATACATTTAGTAAATGTCTTCCTGTCCAGACAAAATGGGAAACTAGCTTGCATGACTTTTCTCCTTTTCAAGTGGGATGAGCCCTTACAACTTTCAGCTCTTATGTTAGTTAGCTATAGTGACCACTGCTAGGCATTCTGTTTATTGAAGACACTTTGGTAGCTTGCAAGAATATATCTTTGATATCATGACAACTGCAAAAATACTTACTGGCAATTCGGCTCTGCTTAGTGAATATATTTTTGTCAATTTACCCATTGCTTATTTCTCTCCTTCCCTCCTCCTTTACTCATCAATAGAATTAATATATATTTTTTGTAACTTAAAATTTTACATTTAGTCCTAAATGTATTTAACCAGTTCCTAGAGTTGAGTAAACTCTACTACATTTTTTTTTCTAAAGGTAGTAATAAGGCAAAAGTGAGATCTTCTTCAGAACTCTTCGTATAAATTAGTAGAAAAGTTCATTTTCTTTTTATTGACATAATTATAGTAAAGATAGATTTCTAGCCAGTTATTTCATAATTTTCTGTGCATTAAAATTATGGGAGAGATATTTAAAAGAACAAAGTGGATTCAGTATTGAAGATATCCATTTATAAATCAAATTCATAATTACATGCTGATTGATTACAAATTCTAGGGAACTGCCAATACTTCTGTTAGCAATACATTAAGAAAGAAAAGATCCATTCATTCTCCAAGGTCTATATGAAAAAAAAAAAAAAAAGAAAAGATCCACATGTTCATAAATGGTAAAAACAAAACAAAGCAAAACAACAATAAGAAATAGATTTAAAAAAAGAAAGAAAAGAGGTTTTGTGTTTGTACACACTTGTATGTATACACTTGTGTCTGCGTTTTTTTCCTCCTAAAGAGAAATCACCCACATAAACTTTGAAAGATAGTTAAAAACAGGAAGTTTAAAGTACAATATTTAATAAATTTAAATGATCTGCTAGCATGGGGAGACCTCATGTAAAGACAACAATTTTTTTTTTCTTTAATTTTGGCCACAGCTTTCATCTCATTGTCGGGAAAGATGGAGATAAGACTTGAGCAGTCATCATAAATTTTATTCTTCTGTAGTTAGACCTTTTTCCTGTCCTTTGGAAAACCATTGGTTCACAAGGAAGACACATTTTATCTCTTGAGAAGTCTTGTTCTTAAGATTCTCTTGGGCCCTTTTGGTAGGATTTTAGGTTGGTACTTCGAAGCTGCTAGAAGCATTATTATAAAGTCCTACCCTCAGACATTTCTTACATGGCAGCTGGAAGGCTGCATGTTAGTAGCTGCTGTGGGTGTTGCTGTTTATCATAACCTAGGTTATGCCCTAAAGTTGGAGGATGAAACCACAGAAATCATATTGTCTCTTGTGTTGTTTCTATGCATTCTCTTTACAGCTGAGATGATGAGGTTGGTCTTTGACTGTTGTTGTGGACTTGTAGAATTTATTAACACACACTGTAGGATAATAGGATGTGAAGAAAAATTAAATATTACTGCTAGGCATTCAGCTATAAAATATCTTCCCAGATAAAATGAGGAAAACAGTTTACCTATGGACTTCTTACCTTCTGGCCACAGTACTTCTAGTTAATTTTGACATGGCTATAGTTGCTCCTGTCCCAGTGACATCGAGTTCACTTGTTGGCTGGGAAGGTTCCTTTTCGCGACACCAGCTTTATTTTAGATCTGACATGATACCGACCAAACTCGGAGCCTGTTGCATGTGAACTGTTTTGTTTTGGTCAGTGTTAGGTGAAGGCACCAGGTGGGGTTAGGTGGAGCCTGAGAGCGCTAAAGAGGGACTAGGGCATGGTGTAAAAGAAAATTTGAAGTATGTGGATAAATATGAGCTTCAAAAAGTAAAATACTGTGCAGTCTTTTTGGCTATTGGGAGTGAGTATGGCAGCACTGTAAGATCATAGGTCAAGGTTGAAAACTACAGAGTATGGTTTGGGAAGGAAAGAAAAAAGACATTGCCTCTCATTTGTGCTTTTCATATTTTCATGAATATAGTGGCCTTGAGATTACGTTAAGTGAAAAGATGTTCACTGAACCTTTTTTTTTTTCCTTTTACCTTTGCTCCCCTTCCAGTATCCACGAGTGGTACCAAGAGAAAGAAAAACAAAGTCAACACAGACTCATTTCCTACCCTATGTGGATATCAGCTACCACGGCGGAGAATTTCATAGTATATCGGTTGGGACAGAAAATGGAGGTAATTAGCAGTATGTGGGGGGATCTTCTTTCCATTTCCTGGAGTATATTACCCACATGTATTGTTTTTAAGAAATGGGCTTTTCTATGTCAGTTTGAAATTTGGTTATAATTCTGATAGGGTTGGCTTCTCAAATCTCTTATAAAATTCAGGCTTCCCAGTAAAATCACTGTATTGCAGCAGTGGAGTTAAATGAAACCTGATGTGTCTCATTAGTACTTTTAGGTCTAGAACCTTCTTGGCATAGTAAATGAACACAAGTTCTTGGGAAGATGCTGGCCAAGGGGAAGCTCCCTGGGTTTCTTAATTGTTGGATTGGCTTTTCCCACCTCTGCCTAACAAAGTTTAGGAACGGCAAAGAAACCTACCTCCTTTACCTTTGAGTGCTACTGGCGACATACACTCAGAAAAGAAGCAAGGGTATCCATTAGTCTTTCCTATGCCAGGACTTCCTTTAAATGAAAGCTTCAATCATTTTGAGCATGAGTGTAGGCTTGAACTGAAGAAGAGTGTTAGACATTGCTGACCAAGTTACAGTTAGAGAAGTTATGGCCAGGGCCCCCTGGCTATGACAGAAACCTAACCTTCCCATGATCATATCAGCAATTTCTCGTTTTCAGTTTTATAGCAGAGGCTTCTTAGAAGCTTAAAGCCTTGTCCCAATGACGTCGAGTTCGCCTATTGGTTTGGAAGGTTCAGACCTGTCTTCCATCAATACCATGATGTCAGCGGTAATGAGCGTAGGGAGGGTTGCTGAGAATGGCGGGAACCCGCAGAGCATCCGGTCCCCTGCGAAGCCTCCGGGACCAAACCGGATTGGCAGAAGGAACCAGGTAAGCATTTGTGCTCTGGGTGGTCACATCCAGTGGGTTCAGTCTATGAGAACATCAGGAGATGTTCCCCAGCTTCCTAAGACAAAACGCTGGAAGCGTTCAGAATGAAACAAACATACCCGGAGGCCTTCATAATTTTTCAAGAGCAAATTTTACACAACTTATGTCATTTTCCTTTCAGGGAGAAAATTTTCTTTGCTGTGGGCTCAATGTTAGTGAAAGCGCCCTTATCCTGGCCCATCATTTGATTTGAATGCAAGCTTTCTTCACATGATGGCCACGGCAGAGAATGTGACTGATTCCTTTACTGACATGTGACTTGTTTCCTTATTCACACAGCCGCTTAAATGGGCTTTCAAAGCCACCTTCTTAATATCTTTTTTAAAGTTGTCTTCAGATTAGGTAGTAAATTAGTACTATTTGTGCTGGGGCTGCTGTTCATTTTTCCATCCTTGAAAAACACAGAGTTTGGCTCCGAAGAATTCCACTTTAAGACACTATTAATATTTAGTCTTCTTGAATTTTCAGTATGCATCAGATCAGGAGAGGTAAGAGAGAGTAAATAGGTAGGACTGGGAAGGATTAATGCTATCATAAAGGTTCCTATCTCCTCTGTTGGGAAGATGAATCTTTAACGTACACATGGGCACTTTGGAGAGTTGTTGCTGTCTTGGTGGCAACATGTTCAACATAGGGTAGGTCAAGGCAGGAAGTAGAGGCTGAATAGTTCTCATGTTCGCTCTGAATCCATAGAATGTGAGTTGACTTTTTCACGTCTAGTTTTCGGTTTGACTGATTTAATGGGGCTACACTAAACCCTGGGAGAGGTGTTCTTAGTTTGTCTAGGAACCGGGGATGGATAAGAAAGTAAACTTGCTGGGCTTTTGTGAACATATTTTCTTTTTTGTTAATAATCCTATTGTGACTGTCCTTATACAGAATTCTGTGAGTACACAACTGTGATGGTTTTCTATAAATTCTTAGAAATAGAACCTTAATTAAGGCTTTTGATAACAACTTGCCCTCCAGGAGAAATTGCACCAGCCCAAAACCCCACTCCCCCAGCGTGTGGGAGTATGCATGTCTCCACACCTTTCTCGAGGCTGAGAATTTGGCAGCGTTCTGTGATGTTTTAGGGGCACTGATACTTTTCTCTTTCTTTTTTTCCTTGTCTCCATATGCCTCCCTTCTATGGGTGCCTGAGAAAATACTCGGCTTCTATGACTGTGGCCTGAGTCAAGAAGGAGCACTAGCTCTGGGAAGAAAAGGTTTATTTCCACTCTCATGTGACCATCTGTCTATTCATCTATCCATCCATCTTTCCACCCATCAAACAATATATACCCAGCTCCTCCTGTGTTCAGCTGGCTACTGTGCCAGGTGCCAGGGATTTCAGGATAAATAAAATAGTCAAGGTCATCATCCTCCTCATCTTTCTCTGCTTTACCAGGAACAAGTGTAGTAGGGAAGAGCTTTTCCTTAAATAACACAGAGTTGGCCCAAGTCCAGGCTGTAGTTTGGATTTGGTAGTTAGGGCCCTGGAGGATGCCCACAGCACCTCCCATGCCTGCATGCTCAGTAGGGGTTGCCTTTCCAGGTGTGAGGACACAATTGTACAGGTGTAACTGGGCCACTTCCATCACCCTCCTTTCTCCTCCAGGGATCTGGTGCACTGGCTTCATTTTTGAAAGGGACGTCTGAACCAGAGATAGCCTGGTAAATACAGTGCTTAATCTAAAACAACACAGTGAGGAGAAAGTTCAGGGAAGAAGGAAGCATCTTCCCTACCTGGGGTCTGGAGGGGGAGGGCTAAGAGCGCCAGCCTGGGGAAAGTCCCATCAGCACGAGCTCAGAGTTCCAGGACAGATTAGCCCCAGCCGGATGCTGACAAGGGTGCCAGTTGTTTCATTATGGAATGGTTAGTTATCACATTAGCTGCTAATTTTATCTTCCGGCTCCGGAAGTGTGCTCCTTCCACCAGCAAGGCTGCAATAACTGGATTCAGAAATCTCCAGTAGGACCTCTTTTCCAGCATCATGATGCTCTTTTCTATTGAAATTTGATTTGTTTTTAAGATACTAAATCTGAGCCCACAGACCTCCTTCCAGACCCCCTTGGATTTTGTGGACCTGTATTACACTCTCTAGCGCCAGTTACACTGCAAACCTCAGAGGTTTGGGTGCCAGTTAATGATCAACCCCAGAGTCAATACCAGTCAGCCCCACCAGTTGCACAGTTTGTCTGGTGTCTACTTCAAAGTGAATACAAGATGAATTTTTAAAAAAATTTGTCCCCTCAAGAGGCTGGCCCCTTGGAGGCCTAACTTTTAAAGATATATTTACATTCTACTGGTGAATCTTTTTTCAACATTAAAATAAATATATATGTATTATTAGTTGGATGCAATAGTGTACACCTGTAATCCCATCTAGGAAGGCTGAGGCAGGAAGATTGCTTGAGCCTAGGAATTTGAGACCAGCCTGGGCAACCTAGTGAGACCCCTGGGTCTTTAATATATATATATATATATATAAATATATATACACGTGTGTGTGTGTGTGTATATATATATATATCTAATCTAATAATTTAAAAATAATTCCCCCCACACACACCGAGTTTGAACTCCACCCCAACTTTTGGCCTGGTCATGAGACATCCCTCATTATTATATCAAGTGCTCTTATTTTGTTGCTGTTGCTTTTAATTTTGTTTTTCCCTGTGAGGTCTTTGGCTAGCTCGATTTTGTAGTTGTAGTACTGGGCTGAGAAGGTGTAACAACCCCATTTCCCCCCAACAATTATAGCTCTGAGAGGACTAGAAGTATGCGAGTAGCTAGGTGAGGCTGGGGATGTTTTTTACTGTCTCCGATATTCAACTTATGTAGAATTCATATCCTTAATTCACTTTAATTTTAGAGTGAGAAGATGTGTGAAGTACCCAGTTCTCAGACCCAGTCCCACAGATTAGGAAAAGGTTCTTACTGCTTAGAATGAGACTTGTTAGTCTTTGAAGAGGTGTGAGAGAGAAGGCTTCTGCAGACTAGACACCATCATGCTTTCACTCCACCTGTCTGGTTTATGGCACCATTTGTTTTTAGTCTTCAGGGTGACTTTTATTTTCATCATCTCTCATGAACAACCACAAGAGTGTTTCCTTTTTGTGCCTCGGGGTTAATCCATTTTTGGGTTATACTTTATATAGCATAGCGGTTTAGGGCATGGGCTGTGAGCATCTGGCCTGAGTTTTTTTTTTTTTTATTTTTTTTTTATTTTTACTTTTCCAGACTTTGATTTTAGGGTATGGCCTGAGTTTTGATGCTGTGTCTACTACTTAATAGTTCTTCAACTTGGAGCCGGTTACTTGTCTCTCTATACCCCGGTTTTCTCATCTAGAAAATGGGATTCGCAATGGTGGCTGTTCTTAATGGTTGTGAAAAAAACCTGACATTTCTGTATATACAGAGTTTAGAACATAGTAAGTGCTCAATAATTGGCATTATTTGCTAGGAATAGACACTTATTTAAATGTGTACAAATGAAAAGAGATCTGTTGAAAGATGCTCAAGGGCAGGAAGTGACCTATAGCCTGGACAGAGCATCTAGCCCTAGAGTCAGTGTCTCCTTCCCACCACACCCCAGGCGACCTGGTCTCCTACTGTCTTCTCCAGCTGCTTTCCCATGGCTTGGACTTGCCAACGTGCTGGGGCTCAGCCCCAATTCTACTTGAACCCTCAATTCAAGTGTTGGTGGTCACTGAACTTAGTAACATGTCATCCCCAAACCTGGACACAGATCAGCATCTTTCGGGGAGCTTGTGAGAAAAGCAGATTTCTGGGGTTTGATTTCCTTTTCTTCCATGATTCTGATTCAGCATGTTGAGAATCTGGTCTAAGTGTGTATTTCAAAAAGCCGATCTTTAGAAACCCTCTGATATTTGTCTCTGAGCATCCCAGTTCCAGATTCCTGGGAGACATGTCCAATTCTGTTTCCAGCTAGTTTGGGAAATGGGAACAGGGACCCATGGTGTCTAGCAACCGTGTGGATGAGGAGTCAATGATGGGCATGTCCTAGCGACTCTCCAGGAATTATTTGGAAAGAGGAGCTGACACATAGGACTGGTGAAGGAGGCTGGCCTTTTCCTTAAAAGGTAAAATGTACTGCTTGAAGGAAGCTTGTCCTGCATGTTTTGAAGGAACATAAAATGAGCCACCTCAGCAAGTAGTGAGCTGGTCCTTTGCCACTTTCTGTGAAGTCTTCACTTTGAGTTGTCATTCTTATCAAGGTCTTGACAAGGGACAGCATTCTTCTTCCCATCATATTTTTAGTTTTTTTTTTTGTGATCAGTGTCGGGTAGAGGAGCTATGTCGTGCTGATTGGGTACACAGCTGGGTGCTGGGGGCTCCCGCTATTGCTAGGGGTGGGTTTCTCTGATAAGAACTTCAGTACCTCTTCAGGCCTTGAAAGCCAGTGGAAAATACTGCCTGGAGCCCAGTTGGGACTCAAGTAGAAATATATTCCCTTTCAGCTCTTCCTTGACTCGACAGTTAATTTTTTGCCATGACAGACAAAAAATAAATGGTGTCTGTGTAATAAAAATGCTAACATTTATTGAGCACTTACTATAAACCAGGCACTGTTCTAGTGCTTTGCATGTGTTAATTAATTTAATCCGTATCACAGCAGTGATACACAGTTAATTAATCCATATCATGCTGTGGTAGATGGTTGTTTTTCCCATCTTACAAATGAGAAAACTGAGGGCAGACAGGACAGCAACCTGCCCAAGCTCATACCTGGGCAGGCTCCAGAGCCCGTGCTCGCAGCCACTTAGACACAGGTGCTTGTCACAGAAAGAAAAGGCACTAGTTCACCGTGATTTGAAATTTATTTTCCTTTTAATTTCTCATTTTAGGAAACGAAAGAGGAGAAGTCTTCCTATAACTGCCCCCTGTGTGAAAAGATTTGCACTACCCAGCACCAGCTGACTATGCACATTCGCCAGGTGGGCGGCCGCTTCTCTATTTTGGTTTTAAGTTATTCTTCATTAATGGAGGGCATGCTGATTGGATTTTAACAGATAAGTTGTGGCTGTGCCTAATTTCGATTTAGTATCTTAATAGTTTGGGGAGTAGCCATGGAAATGATTTTTGTGTGTTTTTGTGTTGCTGTCACAAAGAACCATATCAACACAGAATACCTTTTCAGAACTTAACAAACATCTAGTTAACTAACCACCCATAAAACAGAAGACTTTTCATTTTGTGTGGCCTGTCAGTATGAATCAAATGCCTTACAATATAATGGTGTTTTAGGTGCGACCCCTGTTCTTTGGTATAAACTTACAGTATGCTGCAGGGAATTACTTGATTTGGGATCTTTTTTGGCTTTTCTCCTTAATTATGAGATTTCTCCTTCTTCCCCTCCTTCAGTGGCTGATTCATGACAGAATATTGATGAACACTGAAGGATTGATGATCTGTTAAAATCATAACAGAGTACTGAGTAATAACATCAAGTTACTAAAGTAACTTGGGCTTGGATAGAAATGTTCCTTCTTACCGTACTTCAGAGGCCAACTCTCGACTCTATGCAGGTTTCAGTTCTCTTTCTTTGACAGCAGGCCCGAGTCATCAAATTTGAAGAAGGAATGTTGACTCTTAATGTGAGGATGGAATTTTACATACTTGCTTCATTGTTGAGAGTCCTGCTCTTAGGAGTTAACATACGTGGTCGGTTAATCTACGTGTGTTTCAAGGAAAGACCTGCAAAGACCCCACTTCTCGATGAGCCTTACAATAGAAGTATTTGCAAAAAGGAACGTGAGAGTGGAGGAAGATCATACAAAATATTTATTTGCCTGTGTTCCCAATACATTTTGGTCCTTCAGGAAGATATTTAAAATGAAACAAAAAAAATAGCCAAGGAACATCACAGTTTTGTTTTTTTTTTAATGAACTGTGGATCTGTATTTCCTAATAGCTGTGTTTTTGACCCACCTTCTTAAGTGACCATTGCCATAATTGCTTTCTGCAGCACAACACAGACACTGGAGGAGCTGACCACTCGTGCAGCATCTGTGGGAAATCACTGAGTTCAGCCAGCTCCCTGGATCGTCACATGCTGGTGCACTCTGGCGAGAGGCCTTACAAGTGCACTGTGTGTGGCCAGTCATTTACCACCAATGGGAACATGCACAGGTGGGTGTAGGTGTCCTTTGCTGTGTAGCCGACTGGTATCTGGAGATTGACAGACAGTACAGTGGCCTCTGAGCCATCACAGGACTTGCCTAAAGGAGCAGAGAATTCTTGAGTTCTGTTCACTCTGTGGGAAAGCCAGAGATGGTTTTGTTTGCCTGTGCGTACTATCTCCAGGATATTAGATGTGTCTAATCATGGGAAACAGAATTACCTGGGCTAGGTCTGTGGCTCTTTAGGGTTTTTCGGGATAAAACACAGAGTCATTGTCCTTCTGCCAATTGGAGTTTCTTTGTTTGGGTGCCAGAGGTGGACAGCTTATCACATACAAGGAACCCTCAGGGAGTAGCATTTATGTAATTTTGCCCTTTTAAAAATATTTGCATATGCCTACCAGGTTCCCGCAGACCTTTTCCTTGCAAAAAATTTCTGGAACCTTTTAGTAAATAGTTAGGTGTCCTGGTCCTGGAGCTTCAGGGTATAAGCTAGGATAAAGTGAAGAAAAAGAAAATGTGATCAACATTGAGAATTTACTTACTGAAAGCAAATGTGCTCACTCAGAGGTTGGAGAGAGCACAGTGGTGGGCATATTAAAATTTTGTGAGATGAACCAATAGAAAATACATTTTATAGAGTGTATATATTTTGAAGGGTTGGAACAGGAAGAATTTTTGGATGCTGACTTTTTTTTTTTTACATAAACATTTTAGGAACATTGAAATTCTAGGAAAAGGAAAAAAAGGCATTCCAAATTTCTCCTTCTCAGAAAATTAGACTTTATATTTTTCATATTTCTGTCTAATCATTATTATGCTTTCTTTAAAAAGTTGAATAAAATTTTTTACACATTTATTTTAAAAGAAAATTTTATGTAACTGTTGTGAAATTGATATGCTACTTATATTTGGTTATGTATAAATACTAAAGTGAGATGGGTCAGTTTATTCTACCTAAAAATCATTTTATGTACCATTGGTAGTACACTTGGGACCTACTGGTACAGTGGTAAGTTTCTTTGTTTGGCAGTTAGGCCCCTGAATTGAGTTTCAACTGATGCTTGCAAGTTTCCTGTCCTTGAGCAGGTTACTTAACCTCTTTGTACCCCAGTTTCCTTGTCTTTAAAAATGAGATTTTTTAATAGTATCTACTTCATTGGATTAGGATAAGGACTAGGTGATAATGAGTTTTGCACACAGTTTGTGGTACAAAGTAAGCACTCAATACATGTTATTTATTGTTATTTTCATTTCTGAGTAAGGCTGTGGATTTCTCAGTCTAAACTCCTAAACATGGGGTATAGTATGACTTCATAAAAGGTATGAATATTTTAAGAATTAAAAAAAATTTTTTTAAGAAACAGGGTCTCACTGTGTTGTCCAGGCTGGTCTCAAACTCCTAGGTTCAAGCAATCCTCCTGCCTTAGCCTTCCCAGTAGCTGGGACTATAGGCCTGAGCAAATAGTTTAAGAATTTTTCCAAAACGTCTTGCTTTTTCTTTTCTCTCTCATAAATTTCAATCCTGATGGGTTATTCTATTTGCCCTTCATCTCCTAGGAGTGTTTTTAGATGCAAAGAAGGAATTGAATAGTGTCATTATTTTTTTTTTTTTTTTTTTTTGAGACAGAGTCTCACTTTTTGTTGCCCAGGCTAGAGTGAGTGCCGTGGCGTCAGCCTAGCTCACAGCAACCTCAAACTCCTGGGCTCAAGCGATCCTCCTGCCTCAGCCTCCCGAGTAGCTGGGACTACAGGCATGCACCACCATGCCCGGCTAATTTTTTGTATATATACTTTTAGTTGGTCAATTAATTTCTTTCTATTTTTTTAGTAGAGACGGGGTCTCGCTCAGGCTGAGCAGGGTTTCGAACTCCCGACCTTGAGCAATCCGCCCGCCTCGGCCTCCCAGAGTGCTAGGATTACAGGCGTGAGCCACCGCGCCCGGCCAGTGTCATTATTTTTTAATATGATATTTTAGCTTTTTGGTTTTTTACCACTAAATCGGCCTGTTGGTATCATTTTGTCTTCTTTTTAGGCCTGCTTTTTCTACCCTCCACTCACCACAAAAAAGTCCTTTGTGTTTTACATCTTTACCCTTCTCAAAATCTGGTCATGGAGGTATCGTCTGTCCCCCTCTTGAGTGGTTTCCCCACTTTTTCTACTGAGCCCCCACTCAGTGGAACTCTCTATGGGCCACCAGCTCTAAGTTAGAAGGGCACTGGTGCATTAGTGAGAGGGACAACCTTGTCACTGTGTTGGCCCTGGCCAGTGACCGTTTGTGATCCTCCTTCAGATCTTTCTGGTCTTAGGCCCAATCAGTCAGTCCTAATTGCATAATTTCCACTTTGAGACAATGTCTGTGATGGAATATATAAACAAACCCGTTAAGCACCCCTATGAAAGCCATAGTTCTGTCTTCCATAGTGATGTATCTGGCAGTGCATTTCACAGATGGTTATCGCTGAGGCTCTGGTGCCCTGGGTATCAGGCACCTGGGCTAAGCACTTTGCATTTATTTTATTTTATATCTTAATTGAGATATAGTTAATATACCAAACATTTCACCCATGTAAAGTATACAATTCAATGTGTTTTAGTTTCTTTTTTATTGTTAAATAACAGTTCATTGTATGGATATACCATGTTTTATTTGTTGGTTATTATGAAAAATGCTGCTGTGAACATTCTTATACAACTTTTTGTGTGGACATGTTTTTTATTTTTCTTGGTAGACACTCAGGAATGGAATTGCTGGGTAACATGGTAACTCCATATTGAACGTTTCAAGAAATTGCCAAACTGTTTTCCAAAGTGGTCTGCACCATTATACATTCCCACCAGTAACGCATGATGTTTCTAGTTTCTCTGTGTCTTTGCCAACACGTGTTACTTCTGTTTTTTTTTCAGTAAAGCCACTCTAGTAGATATGGAGTGGTGTCTCATGAGTTTCATAGTTTTAGTTCTTACATTTAAGTTTATGATCTGTTTTGAGTTAATATTTGTATATAGTTCAAAGAAGGGCTCCAATTTAGTGTTTCGCACTGTTTGTTAAAAAGATTGTTCTTTCCCCATTGAATTGTCTTGCCACGATTGTCAAAATTCAGTTGACCATAAATGTAAGGGTTTATTTCTGTACTGTTAGTTATATTCCATTGATCTATATATCTCTCCTGAGACCAGCACCACACTGTATTGACTACTACAGCTTTTTGGTAAGCTTTAAAATCAGAAAGTGTCAGTCTTTCAAATTAGATCTTTCTCAAGATCATTTTGGCTATTCTATTAATTGGTTGCATTAATTTTTATATGAATACCAGGATGAGCTTGGCAGTTTTTGTGAAAAATGCAGCTAGCTGGGATAATTATATAGACTGTATTCAATCTGTAGATCAGTTTGAGGGATATTGCCATTTTAACAATATTAAGCCTTTTGATCCATGAATGTGGGATGTTTTTTCATTTGTTCAAGTCTTCCTGAATTTTTCAGTGTCTCATAGTTTTCAGAGTACAAGTTTTATGTTTATTTTGTTAAATTTATTCCTAAGTATTTTATTCTTTTGGTGCTATTGTAAGTAGAATTGTTTCCTAATTTCATTTTAAAATTGTTCATTGATAGTGTATTGATAAACAATTGAAATGTATATATTGATCTTATTTCCTGAAATCTTGCTGACTTCATTTATTCATTCTAATATTTATTAATACTTAATGGGATTTTTTTTTTTTTTTTTGGAGACAGAGTCTCACTGTTGCCCCTGCTAAAGTGCAGTGGTGCCATCATAGCTCACTGCAGCCTCAAGCTCCTGGGCTCAAGTGATCCTCTTGCCTCAGCCTCCTGAGTAGCTGGGACTACATGGGTTCGTCACCACGCCCGGCTAATTTTTCTTTTTTCTGTATTTTCTTTTTCTTTCTTTCTTTCTTTTTTTTTTTCTTTTTTCGTCTCACTCTTTGCTCTAGTGCAGTCTCTGAACTCCTGAGCTCAAGTGATCCTCCCATCTTGGCCTCCCAGAGTACTTGCTACAGGCATGAGTGCCCGCAGTGCCTGGCCTATTTAGTGGATTTCTTAGGGTTTTCTATATTATGTGTGTATTATTTTTCTTGCCTATTTGCCCTAGCTAGAACCACCAGTATAATATCAAATAGAAGCGAAGAGAATGGACATCTCTTTCTTGTTTCTGATCTTATAGAGAAAGCATTCAGTTTTCCTATATTACATATGTTAGTTGTGGGTCTTTCATAAATGCCCTTTTATCAATTTGAAGACGTTCCTTTCTAATCCTAGTCCTTTTTTTTTCCTATTCCATTCTATTCTGAATTTAAACCACCCTTATTCCTAGGGTAAATCCCACTAGGTCAGTAGTGCATAATCCTTTTCATATGTTGATAGATTTAGTTTGTTAGTATTTTGTTAAAGATTTTTGAGTTCATATTCATAAGAGATACTGGTCTGTGGTTTTATTTTCTCTTGATGTGTTTGGTTTTGGTATCAGAATAATACTAGCCTCATAGAATAAGCTGGGAAACATCCCCTCCTCTATTTTTGGAAAAATTTGTGAATAGTTGGTATTAATTCTTTTGTAAATGCTGGTAGAATTCACTAGTGAAGCCATCTGGGCAGTTTTTTAATTACTAATTTAATCTCTTTACTTATTATAGGTCCATTTAGATTTTCAATTTCTTCTTGAGTCAGTTGCAGTAGTTTGTGTCTTTCTAGGAATTTTGGCCATTTCATGTGAGTGAGCAAACAGGTTGTCACACAGTTATTCATAATATCCCCTTATGATCTTGTTTATTCTGTAAGGTCAGTTGTAATGTCCTGTCTTTTTTATTCCTGATTTTAGTAATTTGAGTCTTCTCCCTTTTTTCCTTTAGTCAATCTACCTACATGTTTTTTAGTTTTATTGATTTTTTTAAAGAACTTGCATTTGGTTTTATCGGTTTTCTTCTACTGTTTTTCTGTTCTCCATTTTGTATGTTTTCTGCTGTAAGCATTATTCTTCCCCCCCTCCC